TAACTGCGTTCTTTTAGCATCAGCAGAAGCAGTGGCTATGATAGAAAATATTATGGAGTTCATTGCTTTTAATCTTAAAATAGACCCTATAGATGTAAGACTTTCGAATATGGTAAAAGAAAATAATCCAATCCCAGAAATGATAAACCAATTAAAAATTGATTCTGAATATGAGTTACGTTCTAACGAAGTAAAATTATTCAATGTACAAAATAGATGGAGGAAAAGAGCTTTAAAAATGTTACCAATGGCGTTTGAAATATATTATTTTGGAAATTTTAATTCGGTGATTTCGATATTTCACGGAGATGGATCAGTAGTTATACATCATGGTGGTATAGCAATGGGTCAAGGGTTGAATACCAAAGTGGCTCAAGTATGTGCGTATAAGTTGGGAGTACCACTAAATAAAATAAGTGTTAAAGGAACTTCGAGTTTTCTCTCGCCTAACACAATGGTTACTGGAGCTAGTATCGGCAGTGAATGTGTCGCTTTCGCTACTATAAAAGCTTGTGATATTCTCTTAGAAAGGTTAGCACCAATAAAATCAACTGGAGAATTTACTTGGGAGCAAATAATTTCTAAAGCATTTGAAAGTGGTATAGATTTGCAAGCATCATACATGTATTCAGGAAATGATAATCTAAAGCCATACAACGTGTGTGCAGTATGTGCATTAGAAGTCGAAGTGGATTTGTTGACAGGTAATAGTGAAATTAAAAGATTAGATTTGCTTGAAGATACTGGACGCAGTTTGAGTCCCATTATTGATGTTGGACAGGTAAGTCATATATCTATTTCTTTTTTTCTCATCACTTTAAACTCGAGAGTATGTATATGGCATAGATTAATCATTAATCATATTTAGATCGAAGGTGCTTTTATGATGGGGCTTGGATACTGGACATCAGAAAATCTTGTCTATGATCAAAACAACGGAGAACTTTTGACAAATCGAACTTGGAATTACAAACCACCGGGCATAAAAGATATACCTGCCGATATGAGAATATATTTTAGAAAAAACTCTAGTAATGAATTCGGTGTGCTTCAATCTAAAGGTAAACTTCTTTGGATAAGAAAATAAGTTGAAACGCTGTATATATACGTTTATTGATTGAAATACAGTATATTTAATTGATTTGTGTATGTACCTGTGTTTGACCTGAATGGCTTGCTATCACTAAACCGAAAATAATACACCTAGATACTTTGTAAGTACCAAGTACGTGGGTACTTGGTACGAACAAACTTACGTCAAGTATTTTAATATTACAACCAATTTGAAAAAAAACACTTGTTCTTAAATAACTTGATAGGAACCGGTGAGCCAGCATTGTGTTTGGCTACAATTATATTACACGCATTTCGAGAGGCAATCCGTTCCGGACGAATTGACGCGGGATATCCAGATCAGTGGGTAGAAATTGGTATGAATAATTACGTAATAATTAAAATACTATTCTACATTTTACTTATAGAGGAAGAGCCCGTGAACGCGTCTGGCGTTCACAGGCCCTTAGGCCATTATTGAAATTATCATATTTTCTTAATTATTATTTCTATGTTTCAGGCATACCCTGCACTGTGGAAAATATTTTTATGGCATTGGATCATAAAATTGAACATTTTCTGTTAAAATAACTCGTATAATATAATTATTTTACGAATTAAATCTACGTATATATATATAAAAGGCAAAAGTGACTGATTGGTGTATCAACGCACAGGCGAAACCCTTAATGCTAAAAAATTCAAATTTTGCACACGTATTCCTCATATGACGAAGGCATCCACTAAAGAAGGATTTTTCAAAATTCTACCCCAAGGGGGTGTAATAGGGGATAAAAGTTTGTATGAAACTTTTTATTCCTTGGACATATTTGCATGAAATTTTGTATGAATTGAGTACGGCAAAAATAATGAGTTACGTATTTCAGTGTTTTCTAAAATTTAACCCCAAAGAGGGTAAAATTTTTTTGTAGTTTTAGCGCGAGCGAAGCCGCGAGTTCTGCTAGTATTCAATATTATTGGATTATTAAAAATAGGACATTGAATAATGATCTTTTTTTTCTTCAATCTTCTTGATGCAACTATATTTTAAAAAATTGAATACATTTTTACATATTGTGGTTTACAATTACCATCATATATTTTTTATTGCACATATGAATATATTAATAATAACGACTAAAAATCGTTGTTTTGGGTTCTATTGCGTTAATAAAGACTCCCAGTAATAGTTTTTTTTTCAAATACCTTCAATGTACAGACAGCGATCAGTTACAATTTTGTTATATGTAAAGATTTAAAAAATATAAGTTATATTAATACAGAAGATATAAGGGTACCTTTAACTTAAATAATAGCATTCAGTACAATGTGTTTTTCAAATAATTTTCTTTAAAGAAATTAAGTAAAATTTGGATCCTGTGTAAAAAGAAAACTCAAAAAAAATGTCCTACCGACCGACTTCGGCCACGCGACCAATCTCTCAGAGAGTAGCTATATATATACGCAGGAAATATTATAGTGCTCATGTCACAGAAAGTTAAAAATAACCAAATGAAGTTTTTTATTTACCGTTGATCATTCTGCGAGTCGGGTACTAATGGACAAAATCTAGCAATTAATAAGACTGTAAGTAAGACCATGAATAGTTACTAGGTAACTAGGTTATCTTATAGTCTGAGGCTTCTTCTTTCCGAACTAGTAGTAGATCATGACGTTCAGTAAAAAATTGTACCTAATAATTTAATGCTGAATAAAATATTTTGATTTGATTATAGTAATTCTACATATTTACAATTTGGCCATCATCAAAAATATCTCTAAAAATCATACTACAAGGTATAATTTAGTAATAAAAAATGTTTTTAGTTTGTTTACGAGAAAATAAACAGTTGACAAAATATAAGTATTAAATACCCAATGTATTTATAATCGTACTAATCCCGTATCAAGTTAGCAGAGTAAGAGTAGGTTTTTTTTGTGAAAGTGATCTTTCCCAGATAAGATAACTTTTCTAACAAATATTTTTAGAGTAAACATTTCCTTCACATGGTAATAGCCGATTATAATGTTCCAAATATATCATTACTTCAGCCAACAACATTATAAGTAATGGCGTTCAAAGAGTCACTACTCATTTAACATATGAAGGTGAATTGAACAAGTAAACTGACAAAGTTAAGCTACTCGTAATAATAGTATTATATTTTATAATTTTGTTCTAAAATAAATTATTCCATAGTCATGTCTAAAATTATTTTTAAAATAAATGGAGTTCAGTATGAAGGTAAGTTTCTTTTGGAATTCTATTCAATATTATTATAATTATTTATATATTATATTATATTTAATTATTATATATAATTTTGCAATAATTTTGCAGTAAATTAGTATTCTAATAACAACATTAAGCTTCAAGCATACAAAAGTGAAACTTAAAAAAAAATTGCAAATCGACTTCAAGGCACAAAAAGTAAGAAATATCTGATAGGAACTTTCATTTATATATATTTAAGGTAATAAAATATTTTTGAAGGCGGTATCAGCCGACGCATGGTAAAGCAACTCTTAAATTAGATCTCGCTATTTTGTACCTTCACAAGATTACTTATAGTAGTATTAAAATATGTATTTATTAATCACAAAATATTTATGTAATTCTGATTAGACAATTTTATAATAAACTAAAACACCACGTTCAAGCAAGTAAAGCGTTGAAAATCAGATACTTTAACCTAAGTCTAAAAATATTAATACCTAGTAGGTACCTCTAATAGGCTCGTTTTTGAATTTTGAAGTCACTTATTGAGCAAATAAATCATAAACAAGCACAAATCTGTAGCCAAAATTAAAATAAAGAGTAGGTATATAATCTTGACATAGGAATAAAGTCATCAAAATGCAATCATATCTATTAAATGTTACCCTTGAAAGTTAAATGGTTATTTTAGTATTTAATACTTCTGTTGGGAACCGGCTTTAAGCATGTTACGTGCTCCTGACTCCTCCTGGTATTTTTCTGATAGCGGAGTATACCGTGGTAACAACCCCATTGTTGTGGTCTGCCTCGGCAGGCCAGCCGTGGGGGCGTGATGGGTGAGAACCTCCCCTTAATAGGGATCCATTAAGAACGGAGAAGTTCTATTGGGATTTAGTGGGTAGTACTAGCTTTTTTAGCTGATGAGTCGTACGAAACCACAGTTACACAGTGTATTGAAATAAAACTGGAAAAATAGCTGTATTTAAATTGCGATATTCGTGTATATCTAAGTAGTATATAATCTGGTGAAATTAAATTGCTTATATTATAGCCGATGGAAAGTACAGTCCAGATGTTTCATTAAATGAGTTTATAAGAACAGTAGCCGATCTTCGAGGCACTAAATCCATGTGTCAAGAGGGTGGATGTGGCGCTTGCATAGTTACGGTTCAAACATCACTACCACCTACCAATGAAGTCAAGATGTTTGCTGTCAATTCTGTAAGTAAAAAAACTCAATTATAATAAATTCTTACACTATTGAGCTGTTTTCAAAAACAATTTTAATGAAGTTTGTCTATAAAAATGGGAATAAATAGAAGAGAGGACGTTAATTATAAAAAAATACCTATTACCCATAACATACGCTTGGCTGTTTATTTTATATGCCACTTTTAAAGATTATAGCAATGTGATGAATGTAAATATTTTTGAATGTAACTATTGACTTCAGAAGAGTACCTATTTAAAGAAATAAAAAAAATCCTCAGCTGTATAACATTTGTAATAGATGTAGCATCTCTGCTTCTCGAGATTATATGAAAGATAAAATGGTCATTATACAAAATCATCATATGATTGTCCACTATTTCATACAAAGAAATAATAAACTTATATCACTCGTACGTTTTGGCCGTTTTGGCAAAGAAAGAGAAAACAGATATTTTAATGAGTAGGTACCACTATTAACTTTAATACAAAGGGAGACTAAAACTAAACATTATTACTTTTCAGTGTCTAGTATCGGTATTTTCATGCCAAGGTTGGGAAATAACGACTGTGGAAGGTATTGGAAATAGAACAATTGGCTATCACGAAATTCAAAGTAGATTGGCGAAGTTTAATGGCACCCAATGTGGGTATTGTACGCCTGGATGGGTTATGAACATGTACAGGTAATTAAAATTGTATATTATACACATTATATTATTTCTAATTCAATGTAATAACTATTTCAGTTAATTAATGTTTATACATTTACATCAGTTACATTTGATCGACACACGTCGAGATTTATTTCTAAGTATTGCCAAAGTTAGTAAAGAAAAGTAAAATAGAAGTGCTTGCAACAACTAAACTAAGACTTTTATTTTTTATTTAGACATTAAAGATTTTTATTTTTTATTTATATTATTCGCTACAAATTGAGTCGTAATTTTTCTGTGTATTACTTCACGCCAGGCGAGCGTTTAGTTGTTTCGAGCTGGATATTTTTTACAATTATATAACGATGTATAACTTGTTTTATAAGAAAAATAAAAAAAACAACTGGTACTAATGTCACGCTATATAGTTTTAATATTTAGTAGTAGATATGTAGGTTGTAGTTATAAACAATAGAGAGATATAGATCTCTTCTAAATAAAATATCATATAAGTAAAAAATTATAAACCTCATAAATAAAAAACAGATTTAACTGTTTCCGTGAAATATTATTCTGTAATAAATTATCATGTAATCTACTTTTTATGAACTAATGAAGACTAAATACTAAGGCGGTATTTTCTTATATCATTGTAAGAGTAGAATTTGGTTCATATAAATATTTTTTTCTTTCTATGATTTGAACCCAATATGTCGAGCAAAGTTGACAGTCAGACACAATATCTATTTACACAGTCGTATTTTGTGTGCATGTATGTATTTAGCCCTTTTTAACGTCCCACTGCTGGGCACGAGCCTCCCTTTCAATACGAGAGGGATCAGGCCATAGTCCACCACGCTGGCCAAGTGCGAGTTGGCGGACTTCACATGTATTTTAAAACCTTGCTAGGTTCTCTCAGACATGCAGGTTTCCTCACGATGTTTTCCTTCACCGTAAAGAAAGTGATAATCATGTTAAAAATGATTCGTACATGGAAATATCAGAGATGCGAGGCCCGAGATTTGAACCCGCTTCACACGGTTTTCCAAGCGAGCGCGTTAGCACTGGGCTACCACTGCCTTACTCGTATTTTACTACTATTTATTTCTGAGAAAAAGGTCAAAATGATGAAAAATAAAGAAAACAATCGGTCAAATTCAATCCGCATTCATGCACCAAGGGTTCCACATCAGGCAATTCTTATGTTTATGTTACGAATTTAATAATAAAATAAAACCTAACAACGGTCGTAATAATGGTTGAACCTGTTAGCTCTAATCTATATGATTTAATTAAATTTAAGACACTAGGCTGATTTTCGACGATATTTAATTGTAGGTAGTTTTAGGTTTGTGTTATAAATAAAAATGTGTTTTACAATTTTACAACATAAACACAAAAAAATCAACTTTGCAACATCTTAAACGATTATTTCCTCTCATACATAAATGAAACGTGTTTTGTTACTTCCTAAATAAAATTACGTTTACCTTTATTGGAATCCCATTAATATTATAAATGCGAAAGTTTGGATGAATGTTTGTTACTCAATCACGCCAGAATGGCTGAAAGGATATGGTGAAATTTGGCACAGAGATAGATTATAGTCTGGAATAGCACATATTATGTTACTTTGATCTCGGTAAAATGTACGTTTCCCGTGGGGTAGATTTGTTTTTGTTTTTCACTAGGGACGAACCCGATGGAAGTGAAAGTGAATAGCTAGTATAATATAAATACAAAAATTTGTATTATAAATTTTGTTGTAGTCTTAAAATCTACCAAATATTTTATGAAAATTTGATTATCACATAATATTCGCATAAATCTTATGAAGTATCATGTTAACTATTACGATTCAAAAGAAAAGCATAAAGAAAGTGGAATTCATTTGCATCTAAGCTAAAAGACTATGAATTAAAAGGTCTTACCACAGAAACTGGTAAAAAAATCATTAAAAACTTACAAAACATCGAATATGTATATGTAGCTTAAAAATATTTAAAAAATAAAGGAACCGAACATAATAATAGCGTTAACTTAATAAGGTTGTAACCACAACTACTTGTATAGTTAAAGTTGATATTTATTTATGTAAACTTTATTAACAAAATTTCCAGTTTATATACTTCGAAGAACAAACAATTAACTATGGAGGAAATAGAAAATTCATTTGCCGGTAATATATGTAGATGTACAGGCTATCGACCAATAGCCGATGCTTTTAAAAGTCTTGCCACAAATGCAGATAAGGATTTACTTAAGAAGTTACATGATATCGAAGATATTGGAACTTTTAAGAGTTGTGGAATAAAATGTAATAAAAATTGTAAGCACAAAAATGAAGATGATAAAGATAATTTTGACTTAGAAAATAAAAACGAGTGGTGTATTTTGGAAAAAGAAAACAATAAAATGATCGAAATAGTTAGCAGTAGTCATAAATGGTACAAAGTTTATAACCTGGTTGATGTATTTAAAGCAATAGCTCTATGTGAAGACTATAAATTAGTAGCTGGCAATACTGGACAAGGTGTGTATTACATGATAAATATTGTCTATATTCTATTACTTTCATTAAGTAACTACGTATGTATATACAAGTTAAGAGTGTTATAAAGTGTATAAAGCTAACTTTCATTATAATATTGAAGTAACTTAACTTTTAATTTAGGTTTCTTATAATAAATCACGAAAAATAAAAATCTGTATTATAGGTGTTTATCACATCGTTGGATATCCGAAAAGTGTGATCGATATTTTTAATGTGTCCGACATTAAAGGTTACACAATAGATGTTAACTTAATAATGGGTGCTGGAATGTCTTTATCAGAAATGATGGAACTTTTTCTCAAATTATCTTCTGAAAATGAGGATTTCGCCTATCTAAAAGAGTTTTACGATCACATGGACCTTGTAGCCCATTATCCAGTGAGAAATGTAAGTGTTAAAGTAAAAATAGTTAATATTTCAATGTTTCTATTAGCCAAGAAATGACTTTAGTATTTTATTTTTAAATATTGTAATAATTGACAATTTTTTTGTAGTAAAAGTTGTTGTTCTCGATAAGTGATTGATAAATTCATGCTCAACATAACAATATAATTAATTTCAGATTGGTACAATTGGCGGAAATTTATACATGAAGTTCATGAATAATGAGTTTCCGTCTGACCTTTTCCTACTTTTCGAAACTGTCGGAGCTATGATAACTATTGGTAAAGTTTTGAACGAGGAATTAAACTTTAAATTACCCACTTCTTAAGGCCTACGATAGTTTACGTGCTATCTATAGCTTCTATAGCTTAATATACATAAAATAAAGAATACTAGATGAATGAATAAATACTTGACGAATTTATTGATAAATCTTTATGTTATTATTTCAATATACTAATCAGCATTAATCTCAGTTACAAACATTAATTTAATTCGGGAGAAATCCACAGTTATACAAGTTTAGACCAACCTAAAGCTATGAAATATAAGTTCGTAGAGAGAAGTTCTAGTCCAGTCTAATAACGTTCTCTATTTTTCAGTTTCGGCCCCAAATGTAGGTACTACTATAAAATTATTGGATTTTCTAAATGTTGACATGAAAAATAAAATCATTGTTAATGTTATCCTACCCCCTTTATCTCGCTCTTGCAAGGTCAAAACTTTTAAGGTTAGTATTATAATTTACAATGTATACTCGTTTTATTAAGGATGTATTACTTGCCAACAGGATCGAAGAATTGAGCTGTGAAAGTAGTATTGGCATTGACCATAAAATCTTTTTTTCTATTATAATAGTATTTTTTTTGCTTTGCTTGGGTGCTTTCCTAGGTTTGTATTAAATAGATAAAAATAGTTATTGCGAGTGCACCTTAGGAGATATATGCTGCTGCGTACTTTTCTGTAAGCCTTTTTAAGACCTGCAATTTTCTAGTACATTATTTTGATGTATCTTGGTTTAGCTAATGTTAGCCATATAGATTTCTAAGGACGACTCGACAGAACGAAAGATTTTCCTATTATAAAAGGTACCTCAATGTTGACTTGAGTCAACATTTACTATATCTTTAAGTAATAAATTAATTATCACTACACAAAATTTAGTCAAAATTAGCTCTGTACTTTCTGCTCTTAATGCACACGGATATACACACAAGCAGACAAAAAATTCAATAACTATTGTTTTGGAGTCCATTTTTACATAAGAAATTTCGCTGTTACTATTATATTGTATGTATATAGATACTTTATTTAACAGGTAATGCCTCGATCACAGAACGCTCATGCTATCATTAACGCAGGATTTCTATTTAAATTTAAGAAAAATGAGCAAATACTTGAAAAGTTGACCATAGTTTATGGCAACGTTAATCCAAAATTTGTTCATGCTACAAAAACTGAAGAGGCGTTGATTAATAAAGACCCTTTCACCGATGATGTACTACAATTAGCTCTCAAAACTTTATCTTCAGAAATAAATCCCGATGAGGCACCACCAGAACCATCTCCAGAATATAGAAAATTATTAGCTTTGGCTCTTTATTATAAGGTAAATTATTATAAGGTTTATTACTTATATTAAATTTTAATACTATCCTTTGATACTTTTAAAATGTGACTAACTTATCGAGTTTAGTTTTAAAAAGTGATGAAATTAATATAAACTGGAAAAAACCTGTTTTAGAGATAAGAACACTTTTGTTCGTATCAGTCCCTTTATTACTTTTATAACATTTTTTGTAAATAAAGTCCTTCAAATTTAAGGAAAATCACAAAAATATTATATAAAATAAAAATAATTAACGTTACAGGCTATTTTAAATTTATGTCCCGATAAAAAATTGGATAAAAAGTATCGATCAGGTGGAGAAATCATAAAACGCCACATATCAAAGGGACTCCAAGTTTATGATACGGACCAAAGCGTTTGGCCAGTGAATAAACCTATTCCGAAATTGGAGGCTTTAGTTCAATGCAGTGGCGAGGCCACGTTTGCAAATGACTTGCCAACACAAATAAATGAAGTCTTTGGTGCCTTTGTTACAGCTGATGTTAACGCTGGAAGTGTTATTGATGGATTTGATACTACAGACGCTTTTGTAAGCTCTATTTCTGTTGTCATTTTGCTTCAACTTTTTATTAAAGATATTTATTTATATTATATATATTATGAGATTTGGTCCAAAACTAATAATTCACAATCAATAATTTCTAGAAATTGTCAAAAAAAATAATAATAAGGTATGTATATGGTTACATTAGAATATAATAATACATCTTTTATTGTCATTTCCATAGAAAATACCTGGCGTAGTAGCATTTTATACAGCAAAAGATATACCTGGAATTAATAATTTTACACCAAAAAATATACCTATCATAGAATTTGTAGAAGAGATACTATGTTCAAGTGAAGTAAAATTCAATGGGCAAGCTGTAGGTATTATCGTAGCAAATAGAGAAAAAGTGGCAAATAACGCTGCTAAGCTTGTTAAAGTAAATTATAAAACAGCTTCTACAAAAACTCCTCTTATAAGCATTGAAGACGTTTTAATGTCTTCAGAAGGCCATAGAATAAATACAGATAAAATAATTGAACCTACAGATATAGGTAACGATGTGAAACTGGTAATAAATGATGAAATATCATATGACGCACAATATCATTATTACATGGAACCTCAAACCTGTGTGGTGAAACCAACCGAAGATGGTTACGAAGTGTATAGTGCGACTCAATGGCTTGACTTAACTAATGTCGCTGTTGCGCAGTGCTTAAATGTTCCTGTAAATAGGTAATTAATTTTATACAATTACTCCATTACATTTATTCTATCTTTAGTTTATAGTTTTGAATTTTATATTGAAAAATTAAATAAATAGATATGTTGGGGCATTAAAACACAGCGCCATCTAGTTCCATAGTAAGCTACGCAGCTTGTGTTATGGATACCAGATAGTTGATACACTACACATATGTATATAACATACTTATTATAAATATAAACACCCATGACTGGGGTACAAACATTCGTGCTCATCACACAAATGAATGCGCCCAGCGGGACTCGAACCCGCGACCGCTGGCACTGCAAGTAGGGTCACTACAAACTGAGCCAAACGTGTCGTCTAAAATTTTATTAATCATCTAAAAATATTACTAAACTGTTTAAAGATTTTGTAAAAGTGTGGGAATAATTTTATGTTGCGTACCAGACAAAAATTCTAAAAACTATAGATTCGACCTCTGTATCAATAATAATTACAATTGCATTAAGCTTTTCAAAAAAAAATTATTTAATGTACAGATTCGACTTTGTTAGAATTTTATTATATATATGGAAGATAAATCTTAACAATAACTTTAATAATATTTTCCAGCATAAACGTAATCGTTCGTAGAGTCGGAGGTGGATATGGAGGAAAAATAACAAGATGTACACAAATTGCTTGTGCTGCGGCGATTGTTGCGTGCATACAAGGAAAACCTTGTAGATTTGTATTACCTTTACAAACCAACATGAAAGTTATTGGAAAAAGAGCTCCAACTTACTGTAAATTAGAAGTAATATTCATGTTTCTCATTAGGAAACCTTATCTTTCGACACTTTCATTTTCAAAAATCTTACTGATTAATAAATATTATAGAAACACATATATCCATGTCTTATGTTAAATATTATTAAAATCTGTTTTAAATATTTATTAATTTTCGATTTTTCTTCAAAGTTTGCTGTAAATGAAGTAGGTGAGATCCAATATCTAAAGAACAAATATTACCAAGATAACGGCTGCTCTAAAAACGAAACTACTACCATAATGACTCTGAGACATATGCCTAACTGTTATAGTTCGAAAAGATGGCATATTGAAGCACACAGCGTACTCACAGATACACCATCAACGACGTGGTGTAGAGCTCCTGGTATTGTAAATAGTATCTAATAATTTTTTTTTATAATACTAGTAAATCCCGGGTCTCGCACCTCTGATATTTTCATGTGCGAATCATTTCCAACATGATTACCACTTGTCTTAACGGTGAAGGAAAACATCGTGAGGAAACCTGCATGTCTGAGAGAATCTACCAAGTTTTCAAAAGACATGTGAAGTCCGCCAACCCGCACTTAGCCAGCGTGGTGGACTATGGCCTGATTCCCCTCGTGCTGAAGGGAGGCCCGTGCCCAGCAGTGGGACGTTAAAAAGGGCTGAATACACACTAGTAACTCACCCTCTCTTTTCTCCGGTCCGTTCTAAGTACCTTTCACATTTATAATTTTATGTTCACACAATTTTATAATCAGTTACATTTAGTAAAGTAAAAATGAGTTAAAAAGTAGCTTTTTTCACTCCCTAGCTGTCCAATTATATTCTGATTAAATTCCATATCAATCTGTCACTCGACGAACGAACATACTTTTCTTTTTAATTAGTTTTAAAGACAAAACCCTATATTTTATAAAACTGGTAATGGCTTTGGCTTAAAGGTTGAGACTCAAAGTTAAAATTTATATTTTTATAAACTTATATATATATTATTTAATTTTAGCTTCATGTGAGGGTATTGCAATGACTGAGTATATAATGGAAAGAATAGCTCATGATTTAGGCAAAGATCCTTTAGAAGTGCGACTGCAAAATATGACGAAAGAAAACAACCCAATCCCAGAACTAATAGAAGAATTAAAAAAGAATGCTGATTATGATAATAGACAAAGTATTGTTGAAGACTTCAATAAAAACAATTATTGGAGAAAACGGGCCATAAAAGTAATGCCTATGACATACGACCTACTTTATATAGGCCCATATAGTTGTATAGTGTCAATATATCATGCGGACGGCACAGTCGTTGTAACTCATGGTGCAATAGAAATGGGACAAGGGATTAATACAAAAGTCACTCAAGTATGTGCCTATATTCTCGGAATTCCTATAGAAAAAATAAGTGTTAAACCAAGTTCCAGTTTTACATCACCAAATAATATGGCCACAGGGGGTAGCGTTGGTAGTGAATGTGTTGCATACGCGACAATAAAAGCTTGTGATATTTTAAATGAGAGGCTAAAACCAGTAAAAGAGAAATTAAATAATGCTACGTGGGAAGATATTGTCCGAGAAGCTTATGCTTCAGGAGTAAATTTGCAATCCTCATACATGTATTCTCTGAATGACTCTTTAAAGCCCTATGTTATATACGGCGTGGTAGTGCTAGAGGTGGAAGTTGACATTCTTACTGGAAATTACGATATAATACGGGTTGATTTACTGGAAGATACTGGGCGGAGTTTGAATCCAGAAATTGACGTCGCTCAGGTAGCAATCTATGTAGAAACTATTAGAGTACTTGTTTAACAGATAAAATACCTTGTCTGTATTTACAAACAAACTCATGAACTGAAACTAAATGTTAATAGAATGTTCTATCACTAACTTACTGTTTTCAATAAGCAAGCACTAATTCTTTTTAGATATTTTTCATTTAAATCGTATGGTTTCTAGATTGAAGGAGCATTCGTAATGGGTCTGGGATATTGGACATCAGAAAAAACAGTATATGATAAAAATACTGGGGAACTGTTAACTGATCGGACATGGACCTATAAACCACCTGGAATTAAAGACATTCCCGCAGATTTCAGAGTTTATTTCCGACGAAATTCGGATAATAAATTTGGTGTTTTACAGTCCAAAGGTTAGTCGTAGTTTCATTTGCTAACATTTTACGTATTTTCACGGCATTAGTCCAGTTATCTAGATATGTGAATGTATGAATTTCATTCTGGTTTTACTTGCGAAGTATACTGTGATTTTAGGTACTTGAGAAAATGCTTCACCTTAGTCCAGACTATATAAATTACATATTTTTGCCTCAGTTGTCAACCATCATAATCGTTGAATCTTTGAATTTTAATCATATATACATACATACTCGTTATTTATTAATCAATACAAGAGCTTATTTAATTTTTACCTTACAGCAACTGGGGAACCAGCTTTCTGTCTTGCCGCAGTGATAACGCACGCATTTAGGGACGCCATTAGATCAGCTCGTTTAGATGCTGGATACGATGATAAATGGATTAATATTGGTAATTAAATACATTGTACTATATGTTCATAATAGTATATTATGTCTATGATTTAAAATAAAGAAACATTAAATTCTGCTAGTGTTCCTCCAATGGTAGGTATTCAACTAAAATATGCTTTTATTGATAAATCTAAAGCTCGTCAATAGCTCGTTTTGTTTTTGACTATTTATATATGAACGTATAAAAAATATACTATGTAGCAGTTCCTGAAACTCTCGTTAAGTGTCGTAAGTGACAGCGGTGGTGGATCAAGCCATTTCTATTTCCTTGCTCCTGTTTCATCCTTTCCTGTCCACTATATTTTATCCTTTCCTAGAATTCCTAATACTCTTAAGGAATTATACCAGTGTTGATCTTGCAAGTGTGTTCAAGCTACCTACGAACAGAAACAAATAGTAGTATGATTTATTTTCACCAGATATTGGTGCCATTTGTCAAAGTGTTAATAAGTATTATAATAAATGTGTTATTTATTGGTATTAATTATTATTAGACTCATTATTGATTAGCAACTTAACAAGGTAAATTTTAATTTTTTGAGCGGAACCCTGATTCTTTTACTGAAATAAAAGTAGAATAAGTTACTCCTTATAACATCAACTACCTGCCAGTGAAAGTCCCGTCAAAATCTGCCTAGCCGTTTCGGCGATTAGCCGGAACAACGAAACAGATAGACAGACAAAAATTTTAAAAGTTGTGTTTTTCTTATAAATACCGCATCTAATTCCATATGCATTTAGTAAAAAGCTGTTATTTTGACATTTTAAACAGACACTTCAATTTTATATATGTATCTGTATAGATAAAAAATTCAAGATTGTGTATAATGCGTATATAATGCGTACGTAATATAATGTTAATGGTCTATGTTTCAGATAATCCTTGTACGACTGAGAACATATTCATGGCGGTAGAACATAAACTGGAAAATTTCAAATTGAAATAAACTTGCCTATTTAATATTTACATTGTAGTATAAAAATTACATATTACATATTTTTAGTTATATTATTTATATAAATTAAAATATATAATACAAAATAATATGTAATACAAAAAAAGTTTAATTTGCTTTTTATAGTAGGTATTTTATCTTCAGCATTTTATTAATAGTGTTAGATATACTAATATTTTCATTGGCTTTTGCTATATTTATCAGAAAGAAGAGGGCAACATTACAAAACTATAATCTTGAATATATAAATTTAAAAAAATAGTCCCACTGAGTTTTTTTCGCCATTTCTTCTCAAGCCTTTTCTTTCCAAACTTATACAGAGAGAATTCTCGGTTAATTTTATGGGATTGCAATATTTTTTTTATTTTTTTGTAATTGAATGCAAATATTTTTGTCTCACGAATTTTTCGAATTTTTTCGCACATTTCTTTTAAGCTCATTTATATTAAAGGTTTTAAATGTGTATTTCCCTTCATATTTATTTCCAATCTAATTAACTCTTCTTAAAAGCAAAGCATGTAAAGATACAAGTTCTATATAATATTGAAATTAAAATACATATTATAAATGTGAAAGTGTGTTTGTTTGTTTGTCCTTCTTTCACGTCGAAACGGATTGACGAATTGGCGTGATTTTTGTGTGGAGGTAGTGGAAGAGTTGGAGAGTAACATTAGTTACTTTTTATTCTGGAAGATTATCTCATTTCCATGGGAAAACACGTTATAATACAACTCAAAAAATATTTATGATCAGAATTATTTGAAACCTTGTATTAATGCTCTTCAATACAATTAAATAAATACGTGTTTTAGCCTTTTTCAAAATTCATCCAATAAGGTGGTAAAATAGGGAATTAAAGTTTGTATGATAGGTACCTACTTTTTTAGAGGTTTTTCGTAGTTTTAGCGCTAGCTTTTATTCTACTATTATAAAATAAATTGATTAGTAAATAAACGTTAATCAATCACTAGCAATCCACCGCTCTCCCCCTGAGGTGTAAAATAATACACATTTTACATAAGTACGTACAAGCATAATGCACATACATGCAAATACGTAGTAAATATAAACACACAAATAACTCTACAATAAATAACTCTTACATTAAAAGACCCAATAATCTAGTGTAAATAGTTAAATTAACACCTTAGAAACATCAAAGGGGCTGTAAAGAAAGTAATACTTTGTATTTCGAAAGAAACAAAGACAGAAGGCGTGTACTTACAAAGAGTTTAAAAACGTTATTGGAAAACAATCGTATCAAATATTTATGAAGATATCCGCCCCATTCGTCAGTTTGATTGGAACTTATAAAAAAATCATTACTCTTTAGTGTTTGTTTCTAATAATACTTAAAAGAAAAAAATATATTTACAGATGTTAAACTTTAGAAGTATTTTTAAAACAAGTTTTTAATTTCAACTTCTATTCTTCTTCACACGTTTGACTTATTAGTTATATAGGTAACTGGTTACATATAGATGTTACTTAAGTTATGATATATCTTCTATTATATTTAAATAAAAATGAATGTTTATCTGTTTGTCCTTTATGCATTCCTAAACCATTGGTCAGATTATGATGAAACTTTAGAATTTTTTCTTTGGATTTTTGTCTTTGAAGCATTCCTAAACAATTGAAGCTTAGTTTTAAATATCAATCGGATAAATTTATAAAACAATGTTGTTTAGTTGAAATTTTATAAAAAACGAAATATTTAAAGGAACTGTATAAAGCTTACTTTTTTATTTATTACCTTTTCTAATTTTTTCCACTCTTGTTCAATTTTTTTTCATATTAATACTTAATTTTTCAAACTACACAACGCTGAGTTTATAAGATTTTTTTTTCCATATCTATAATATTGTATGTAAGTGTGAATGTAATTATCAATATGGTAGCTTTTCGCGCTTAAACCGCTAAACGCTTTGCTAAACCGCTACGATATACGAGTACAAATACTAATATTAAACAAAGACTACCGAGACAGAAGTTAATTCTATAAAAACATCTTTCCAATATTGTTTATTATTTACAAGTCTCAACATATGAGAGTCAGTAGCTTGTACAAGACTTTATGATAATATAACATTTATATAAATATAACAACTAACGACTCACCCACGCTCCGCTTAGATTCGTCCCTAGGTACATTTTGCCGGTTAGTATAGATTTATCAGAGTTGAAATATTTTCCCGCAGTAAAAAGTATCCTATATGTTGGCCCGGATAACCAGCTATCATCATACTAAATTTCATCAAAATCTGTCCAGTGGTTGTCAGGCGATGCGTTCCTGAACAGACAGATAGACAGACAGACATTAATTCTAAAAACTATAGATTCGGCCTCTGTATCGATAATAATGACTATTTCAATAAGATTTTCCAAAAAGTATTTAATTTACAGATTCGACTCAGCTACAATTTAATTATTGTATGATTAACAGTAGATTTATTAATAACACTTTTAGATTTTTTACACTACGGGTGCCTTAATATCAGAACATTCTGAACGAATTTCAAAAAACATTTCAATAAAACGAAAATAATCATAAAATATCTATTAGCACAAATCCTATTAAGCTATACTAGTATTATTAGTTTAGTTAAAGTTATATATATATATATATATATAACAGTTTTGAATAAAAAAAACGTGTGTAAAGTATCAGACAGTAAGCATATTATATACATAAGTAACCTATTCGTAGCTCACTTACCTGTGGGATACTAACAGTTGCTGTTTTTATATTCTACACAGTTCATTATAGTAAATCACTTAATAAATTCTTTTTAAAAGGCAGTAATCATAAACCTTTCCCTAATTGCAGGAATGACGTATTCGCCTCGAGCTAACGATACCATTGGTTTGGGGGCGTGACGGTACAATCGTAGTAGTAACAGATATAAACTCAAATATTTTATTTATTTTATTAAATATATTACTTTTACTAAACATAACTTATGACTTAACGGTAAAATAAGATACAACATATAACTTGTGTCTCCTAATATAAGTTTTTTTTCTTTATGTTTGCTTAGTTATATTTTTCTAGTACTTTTTTCCATTTTTTTTTATTAATATGCTGAAGAAAATGTATTTAACGAATGTTTTCTCGTAATCTCGTTAATTTTGATTCCTCTGATCTCATAGGTCGTAGAGTGATGAAGATAGCCTAAATCTATACAAATAATAAAATTGTAACAAACCCGAATCTGTACATTAAATATTTTTTGGAATGGAAATGGGCTTTATTATCGATACAGAGGCCGAATCTATAGTTTATAGATTCTTTTGTCTATCTATCTGTCTGTTACCGCATCACAGAAAAACCACAGAAGGGATTTTGATGAAATTTGGTATGACGATAGCTGGTTATCCAGGTCAACATATAGGATACTTTTTACCGCGGGAAAATGTCTCATTTCTGAGAAAAAATACAAAAACTGCAATGTAAGAGTATACTAATATGTAAAACCTAAGAATTTGCTTTTGGTCATCTGAACGCGAGCGGAGCCGCGGGCAATGCTAGTAGTCTATAAAACAAAAAAGAATTTTTCTATTGGGCCCAGTAGATCTAGAGATAAGCGTGTTTAAACAAACTCTTCAGCTTCAACTTTATGTTATTTATAGTATAATAAAATTTTATAGATATTTATACTAATCAGACTTTGAATTTGTATCCTTAGATTATAATAGAACAATATTTTTGATTAATAAATATAAGATTATTTTAGCTCGAGTATACCATTGCACCCCGCCCCTTGGAAAGCGTTGCAACGACGTCCAAGTAATACAACAGCTGTCTCCGCGTACACACCGCCACACGTATGTATGTTTTTACGTTATATATTTAAATGAAATGCATTAAAATAATGTAAAAATTTTAGGTTTACGTAAAATGATGAAAAATTTAAACCAATGAATACATACATTTTAATATTTTGAATAATTTGAGGGAGAACGAGAAAGAAAGAAAGAGTATTAAAATATTATTTAAATGTGATATAAACCTGTTTCTTCGAATTTAAGACATTCTAATCTTGCTATTTAAATACGGTACATAGATAGGTATATTTTATATAGAATTAGGTTAAGTCATTAGTTAACCTAATACGAATTTAGACCACTGGGCGCCCTAACCAAATGATACACGTAGGTCATCGTCTTAGTTTGGAGATCAAACTAGAAAATAAAAATAAAAATATTAAGTGCATCGTATGCTTTGATGATCTATAATCCATATACATTTATTTACCCCTCGACGATTTCGAAAAAACAGGATTATTAAAGCCGACAAAAAACATACGAGTAGCTTTTTAAATTTATCCTCTGTTAAAAGACATGCATTCGCATTTTATTCTTAAGCCATAAACTATTTTAAGTATTATAAATAGTTAAAAATATATAAATGTAGCCCGAACATCGACTGATCGATACCGGGAAACTTTAACGGTGGTTCTCAATAACCTATCTATCTCAAGTTTTTCTCACTATCAAATTAAAGACATAAGCTTCATACAAATTATACCAAATTTAGAACAGATAGGTTATTGATATGTATCGTAAGTATTAAGCCATACACAGTTAATCAATCAGTTGGAACAATTATTAATTACAAATATTTATTATTATATTATATTATTATAATTAGTAGGGGGAAGGTGGTAATGGTAGATGCGTAGTATGCATTTATTAATGCTTGCATTAATAAGCAAAACTACAGTGGAAATAAAATTCAAAATCTATTATGTGTTTATCTTTTAAGTTATTTACCTTCCAATAAGAAAGATAATATAAAAAATAAACAAAAATACCATCTACCTACTATAATTTCTTCTCCACTATCCACCTATAATATTTAAATAATTAAATTCATTGATTAAATGAATTTGAATTTAAAGTCAATAGTTTATTACCTTTATATTTATAGCTCATGTTAGTGTAGATTTAAAACCCTTTGTATAAAATTTACATTATCTGCAGAT